TGGGGGTGAGGGGGCAGGGGAAGGGGGAATTTTCTAGGGGAAGGGAGAAAAGAGCCTCAGTAGGTGTTAACTCATTGATATTTCTTAGCGTTGGTCCATCAAAGACTTTTTTTACTTATTAAAACTTTCACATTCTGTCATTTTTAAGCGTTGTTGTAAGCTGTTGAAGTGTTGCGTTGATGTGGTTATTTTAAACCATTTTCCTGAGACCCTGCAGTTCAAATTACCCCATTCTGTAGGGTCAACGTGAGCCAAAACTCTCAGAATTCAGCAGAAAAGTGTCCGTTAAAGTTTTCAGTCCTCCACTTAGCAAACGTTAGAGCTGCCACGTGGGGTCAGACAAAAGGTCTTGGCTCGTGTTCAGCCAGCGATAGGGAGTGTGGGGACCACGCGCCGCATCCAGAGCACCTTGGCCACTGTTGGACTCGTTTATGCCCTGTTTGAACTCACTTGTACTTTCTTTCAGTAACATCCTGCGGCTTGGACTTGCCCAGAAGAATACATGTCTCACAAATTGTCCAGAAATTTGCTTTCCATCGCTGTTTAAGCCAGATTCTCTCCTGGCAGATGTCTCCGTGGAGCATGAGTGCGAGGAGAGTTGGCAGGAAAGGGCAGGGTTATTATTTCATGTCTAATTATCTCCTATCAGAGTTCTTAATAGCAAAAAAAAAAACCCCAAACTGCCCTGTCCATGGGCCATTTTCCCACCTTGCTTTCCAACACCTCTGCTTTGTGAGCCTCCTTGGAACTGTTGGGTGCCCTGGGGCTCCTTAGGACACCCTCCGGTGGCTCGCTGGGTGTGAATGGTCCGTGGGGTGGGGATCACCTTGCCAACCTCTGGAGCCTGATTAGTGCATTGAAAGATGGGGGTACTAAAGGGTTTGCTACCTTTGTCCAGACAGCCAAGCTGGAAGCACTCTTTAAACAAATCTGTTGATAATGGCTGTTCTAAAACACTCCGCTGACAAAGTAAATAGCAATTAGTACAATTAGGGATTGACCCATAACTTTGGTTAGCCTTGTTTACCCTTGTAGAAACACCCCCAGGCAATTTTCTCTCCTTAACGGAAGGGTCGTGGCTGCTTCTGTACATTTGGAGACTGATTTTTAACACATAAATTTAAAAATATAGTCTGGTAACCCTCTTATCACCTAGAGGCTCTCTTGCCAGGATCAGTTCCTCCCATGGCCTGGGTGAGGGGAGAAACAGGGCAATGAACTTTTTGGAACCCTAAAGTAAGTTCTTTCAGCTCTTTTTAGCCAAAATACACCATTTTCCTCCCTTTTTAAAGGGGCTGTGGTGGTTCCCTGCAGCAGGGCACAGTCTTGGTAACACTTGCTGCTGGCCACTGTTTGGAGGAGGCTGCTGGAGACACACAGGGACTAGAGGCAGATTCCAGTCCCCCTAATTTTGTTCAGAGCATTTGATTTTCACTTCATGCTCCTCCATGACAAAAGCTCTGCAGCCTCTTTCCTGCTCCCAGACCGACGTCACCCACATGGTCCTCCAGCCTGTGGTCTACCTGCAGGAGATGTGCTCAGGAGTGACTGCGTCTTACTCTGGAGTACCTTACTCTGGAGTACCTTACTCTGGAGTACCTTACTCAGGGCTTGCTCAAAGTCATGTGCAAGAACAGGGATTGTCACTTATCTGTGTAACCCGGCGTCTTGGCAGCTTCCCTGCTTCAAATTCAGACGCGTGATTCTAGCCTTTATAATCCCATCAAAGCTGCTTTGCTGTTGTCAGTTGAGAGGACTCCTGTTTTCATCTGTCCACATGCCAGACACTTCAGAAATGCCACTGATTTGTGATGTTCTTACTACAGAGCTCTTTCTTTTCGCCTTTCTGTCACGCTGAGGCTCTGCGTGTGTTACCACTGGCTTAACGCGGGCCCTGGTTCCAGTCTAACCCTACCTTGGTGATTCTCTCATCTAAGAAGTATCACCCCCGAAGACAAACTATCTTACTGCTGCAATTCAGAGGATCCTTGCTATTCTGGTTATCAAAATGTGAACAGACGGAAATCTTTACGTGCAAAAATTCCAAGTTTGTAGAAAGCTGCTCTAGAAATGATTGTCTCCAACGGGAAGCACTGAGGACCATCGTGGGTCTTGCTAAACATCCACAAGCTTAAATAAAACTATTAGCAAAATTTGCTTCGTACTCGGGGGCATCGTAATGTCTTGTACTGATATGAGTTTTACTAAATGCACCTGTGCTCTGTGCAGGACTTATAGAAACTAATTTTATCTGTCAAGCAAATGTGGACGTAGAGGAGTTTGTCTTCCAAATGTCATCATTTTAACTAATAGAAAGACTTAATTCAGGCGTGTGAGCATACTTGCCTTCCCACCACCCCCAAATGGAACTCTGTTGATATAAAAATATCTGGGCGCTGCTTTTGCCTGCCTGAATTCTCCTTAGAGCTTTGTGCCTATACTGTTTCATTTTCCATCAAATATCTTTGGATTCCTGGAAGACTGTGAGTGAGGAACAGCAGGGATAGGGCGTGGGGTGCGGTTTGGCCACGCAGCTAGAGGTGGAGGTATCGCTGGAGGACATGGAAGCATCCTCTGGACATGGAGATCATCCCTTCCCATAGCCGTTTCACAGTCCGGGTGTTGACTCCCAGATCTTTTGAAGTGGTGACTGCAGGACAAGTCAGAGATGAAAAAAACTTGGAGCATTTGGTGAAAAGTTAAACTTTTCAAATTTCGTGGAATTTTAGTTAGACTAGGGTGTTTTTAATGGGAGTCATATCAAGGCATGCATTATCAATTTATTTATAGAAATCCTTACAGTGTCTATAAATGAGAAAGACAAGAGTGACGGCTTATTATTTGGAGGCTGGAGATCTGGAATCAGAAGTCGCAATCTGGATCCTCTACTAAATCATTTGCATTTGGGGTTGTGGCGAAGGAGGAGAGCAATTCTCCTGCCTCACGTTTAAGTCCGGGTGAAAGTGGGTGACAGTGCTGCAGTTGGGTGGGAGTTACACCACCCCGGGGAGCAAGCTCCGTGCTCCCAGCAGCGGTTTTCAGATTCATGAAGAACTCGCTCCCTCGTTTTCCTCTTGGTAGTCAAAAAGTTTATTTTAAGTGGCCAGTTCCTGGTCGTCGTCTTTCCACTTGGATCCAGGTCTTTCCTCTCTCTCAGCCATCTCTCCATCTGCATGTTTTAACTCCCCCAGCTGCCTCTCTCGTCTCTTGTGCCATTTTTTTCAGCTCTCTTGGCTTCTCTCGTCTCTTTGCCTGCTGTGTATTTTAACTCCCAGGGCCGCCTTCTCTGCTCTCCAAGTAATTCAATGTTACCTCCCACTGCTGAGCTCCGCAGCGCGCCATTCTTTCCCCATGTTTCATGCATTTCCTGCTGCTTGGACGCTCTGTTGAAGCAGCTAACATATAGAATCAATGTTTATTTTGAGACTACATATGCCATGCGGGGAACACGGTGTCAGTTATTTTGTGCAGATGTATTCTCATTTAAGTTTTATAAATAATATCTGTGTTGGCAACTTTAATATGGAAAAATATTGGTTTTGCATTGTCTATGAGACGAGGACAACTCATCTATGGGATGTAGCTGGCTTTGGAGCAGACAATGGAAACTTCATTAGTACCTCCACGTCACCGATGTGTGGGGACAACGATATCCACTGCATTAAGTTGGGCTTCTAGTCCCTCAGACGTTTCCCTTTATTCAGGTTCTTCTGTGAATCCTTTTGGCTGGCAGTTATGATGAAATTTGGGAAATGGTGCAGGTTTGTCCCAGCCATCACCCAAGACTTCTCCAGTGGCCTTTGTCCAGCTTCTGACTCCTTGCAGAGTTGAAGCCCATCACGCAGCTGGTCTACGTGTAGACCACCCAGGTCTGCGTGGAAGTGCAAACTCAGGTTCCTTTGTAGGCTGAGCTTAGTGGTGGGAGAGTCCAAATCCAGTGGTTCTTGGTTTATGCGGTCTGGACAATTGGTGAGCAAACTCAGTCCACCAGCACTGTCTGCTGTGGACGCTCTGAGCTAATAGCTGGCAGTGGAACTTGAAGAACATAAACTCTTCTTAACTCCTTATCCTAAAGCCTCTTCTCCACCTCACAGTACAAGCAACCTTAGAGGGTCTGTAGCGCGGCAGAAGGTCTGAGGATGGGCTCCAAGAGCTCATGGAGGTCAGACTAGACAGGCAGAGGCACTGGAGCTGACTGTGCAGCATTTATGGAGGAGAGAGAAAGCTGGGGCTGATGGCAATGGGCAAGAGCTGAGAGAGAAGTGGGGAGCGGAGTAGTTGTGTCCATGGAAGGGGAGTGTTTCTACTCTTTCTTCATCTCCACGTCCTCCTGGTCTTGGGGCAGAGCTGCCACAGCATGTCAGCATCCTTGGGGCTGTTTTCATGTAAAGCTCATAAAATTAGGGTGCTCCCAGGCCAGATCAACATTACAGAGCTGCTCTGGCTTAGCTAAGTCAGTCTAGCCATGAAAAATAGATTCGCTTGATGGATACCCAGTGCTCAGCCCACTGTTTTGTGGTGCTGGAAAGGTGTTTTATTCAGCTTTAACTATGTTTTTCGCTGCAGAAATGTATGTGAGGTAGGAGGTCCTCCTAGACCTCATCTTCACGGTGGTGCTGGAAGTATTCTTTTGCTGGTGTGTGCAGAACCTTTCCTACAGGTGCTCTTCCTCCTCCAGAAGCACAAAGTCTCTCCGTCCAGCAAAACCCTCGCTGAAGTTTGTTTAAACTAAACAGCTGCCAGCAGTGACACCTTAAACTGCTGTGGCTGTTTCCAGAGTAAACATTGAAACTGCTCCTTTAATTACGTCAATCAAGTACAAAAATCCCCCAACCTCACTGGCTTTGCATCTCCTGTGTCCTCTGGAGGGGGCACTGGGGCTACAGCCGAGAGCAGGAGATGCTCCTTGGCGAGGACAGCGGTGGCCTGGCTGGACAGGACAGCACACAGAGCTACTGGTTGCTAGAAGACCTCAGAATTCCCAAAATGACCCAAAATGAGTGAGAAAAGCTCAGAAACACCCTCTGCGGATAGCAGGGACCTGACGAGCTCTCTGAAGCAGAGGCTGTGGTACGGTGCCTGCTCTGGGAGGTTCTCAGGGGAGCTGGGATCTGAGGGAGGACAACCACCTCAAAGTTTGTTTTCACGCCGGAGTGTTTTGAACCCCGGGCTCTGAGGAGCCTGGGATGCCTCGGGATAGCCGGAGCTTCAGCCTCCAGCGCTTTCCTTACCCCGCCGGCATCCTCGGCGTCTTGCGATGTATGCATTAGCTTTGAACCTGTTTATACCAAACACTACAGAAACCCCACAGAATCTGTCAGCTGGGAGACTTTGGTTAACTCCTGTCATATTTAGTTTAGCATCTGACACCTCCTTCTAGACAAATACAGCTCTGGTTCACTGAACCTGATAACTCCTTTTTAGTACAGCAACTGACTTCCATATGGAATAAATTACAGTACCTCTTGAAAAACGCCAGAGGCAGCTGCCAAATTATGCAAAATTTAAACCACTAATGAACAATGTGATGAAAGTTGAATGAAGGTGTATTTACAAGATCTACAACACACTGTCTCTGCGGAGCAGATGTACTGTCTGTACAAGTATGCGTGTGTCTGTGTATATACCTACGTACATGCACGCTCATGCATATTGAAATGTTATCTGTAAGGTCTAGCTTTAGGTATAGCTGCTAACACTAAGCACTACCTAGGATCGGTAAACGAGAAGCTCCCCAGAGTGTTACTGCCTCTTTAATATCCGCTAAGCAAATTTTATGAAGGCAAATTGCAGAAAGAATAGGCATTTGGGAGTTTTGAAAGGGGGGGTGGGGTGGGTAAAGAAACAAATCTTTTTTAAAAAAAAAAAAAAAAAGAAGAAAAAAGAGAGAGGAGGAGGGAAGTCTTGCAAAAATACATGTTCTTTGCCATCCAAAGGTTGATGTATAAACACGGATCGCTTGTACTAGGAAGGCAGGCCACTGGTGCCAAAAATTTAGCTTCTAAAATTGGGAACAATAAAGCATGCATTATATTGTCTTCCTGCTCTGAGATCTTCTCTTGGTGCTGGCTTTTCAATCCCTGCTTGTCGAACCTGGGCGCCAAGGTTGAGTTCACCAGAGCCTGTCTGGTGCTGTGCTGCGTACGTGGTGACGGTCTGTAAATCCGCCGTTCTCGTGTGAAAATAACTTCAAATACGACAGAATTGCTGGTAGAGCAAGGTGATATTTGCTCCTGTGAACATAGCAGTCTGCTTCAGAAGATGCCAGTGGCCAAGTTGGGCTGTCAGGGGGATCTGAAGGTCCAGGCCCCCACTTCCCTGCTCAAACCCCTTGGCAGAGCACACAGGACCGTGTTGTAAACTAATTCACTCTCCAACAAATGGATATTATTATTAATATTATTATTTATTTTTAATCTGCTATAACACTCTGCAATTAAACCCTTTGGAATCATCTAATCATTCACTTCCACCGGGGGCCTAATGGGTGAAAAGAGGGTTTTCGATTGCGTTTGACAGCTAACAAAATGCAGCATGCAATATTTAATATTCTTCTGAGATCTGTGTCGTGAGCAAAGATCCTAGGGACAGAAGAGAAGTGGACCTCTCGACTAATTATGAGTCATTTATTCTGAACCACACAAATTTTAGAATCCGAATCCCAATTAAGACATTACACTACATGTGTTAATTAGTCCCCTCTCCTTTTTAAAGCAAACCATAACTTCTTAATTAGGAGGTTAGCCATTGTAATTTGAACTGGCCTGAGTTTGAAGCACTCCTGGAAATCACACCTGGGGGCTGTACTGGGGATCCTTTTAAATTGGTTGAGTTTTTACTTGGGTGATTATAAGGTCCCCAACAGGGCAGTAATTAAAGAGGGTGCAGCTTCCAAATTAAGATGTCAGGGGTGGTATAAGCAGTGATGTCTTGGTTCTAAACTGTACTCCAGGGAGGCTTGAAGGATGCTGGTCATATGATTTTCTCAGCGAGGGCTCTCATGGATCACGACAGCTTAAGGAGGAGAATAAATCAGTTCCAGGAGTTGCCCCTCTGCATCCCAGGGACTAGTTATCACAGCTAATTGATGGCAGTTCTTGAATGTTGCGTTTGTTAAAGAGCACGGAGCAAGGCAACCCACTTTCCTGGCTCGGACAAAATCCTTGTGGACTTCTACAGGAGTAGATTAGATTGTGCTCTGTGCAAAACAAAGTAGCTAAATATTGGAGAACAGAAGCTTGGCTTTCACAGCACAAATTGATAGGATCAACTCTGTCTCGATAGCTTATTAGTGAGGAGCTGAGATATTGGAGGAGTTAAGGCTCTGGATCTTGTTTTCCTTCCCCACTTCCCCCAAACCTTCTCAAGATGAAGACAGCTTTCAGCAAGCATTGCTAGCAAAGGGCGAAGAGTCGGAATGTTCAGACACACAGACAACGTACAGCAGGGTAACAAGTTCCCACACATCAGCTGCTCCGTTATAATTCATCAGGTGCGTGTTTGTAGCCTGCAGTAAACGTGGAGTAGATGGGGGTTGAGGTAATCTGTTATCTTGCATTGGCTGCAGGCTCGGGCTGCACGCGGAGATGTGCCGGAAAAATCACTTGTGCGTGTGCCAGAGCACACCCTGCCCTGATGTGGGAAGGGTTGGCTTGGGTGTGGGGAGCACCTTGTAAATTGGATTAGAAAAGCTTTTTAAAACCCCCATGGTGGTAACCACAGTGATGTTTAGCAGTTAGTGTCATCTGATTGGATCTTCCTCGACCAAAAGAGAGCTCCTCTCTTATCACCCCAGTGACAGATCGTGGATCTCTGCCCGTGTTTGAAGGCAGGACACTGTGAGGTGTCACCATCCTCAAGATCAGGGTGGACAGAGGAGAGATGCACCTTGGGACTAAGGTCGGAGCTGGTGACCCCGCAGTGAATCTGCTGACATTGCTAATATACACTGAATATTCAAACAAAACTCACCGTCAGGTTGCTGGTTTATAATCCCGGTTGTTTCAGACCGGTAGAAAAAAAATCAATGAATGTACCTTTTTGGTGTAAATAGCTCCAGAACAAACCCCTCAAGAATTATGTTTTCCCACTTAACTTGTAAACTTGTTTCCCATTAATCTGTAAATGGTCTGACATCCTCTATCCTGGAAGATACTTAACATGTTAAATGTTGTCAGTGGTTGGGTGTTAATTGCATCAGAAGGGTCACTTAATGGGTCATTATTAATCTGACCTTGCAGGTATCTTAAAGTGTTTGCTCTTAACAAGTCTTGAACTCATAAATATCCCCTGGGGACAGCAGGTGTTAAAACATCCCTATTGCCCACTCTGCAGATGTTTGATTTTTAACAAATTAAGACATTGTCAAATTTACTACTTTGTTACCCCGTTAACAAAGTCGTGTGCCTTTTCCAGTATCCCCGTGTGATAGGGCCGACAAAGTTCATCATCTCTCTCGCGAACCTAATTTCCATCTGCTCACTCAACATCGTCTCCAAAGCCATAATGCAGGTGACACCTGCGTGTGGCCCGGTCACCTAGTGTGCCATTCGCTCCGGTGTGGGGTGGTTTGAAATGGGGGAAGCAAGCACGAAGTCAGCCTGTTTTAATTTAGGGGTAGTGAACGCTTAGGTTGGTGTGGGCTGTGTAACCCCAGCAGATGCAAAAGCACAGTTTGCAGGTCTGGGGATCTTTTGTAGGAGAACTTGCTGATGACCTGCCAAGGACAAACCTAGACCAGTTAGGGAGAGGGAGACCCTGGGTCTGGGTGAACCCCAGTGTCAGTTTTGATGATGGCACGCACTCACCTGCTCTATGAAATGCTCTAACCAAGCCTTTCCTTTCCAGAACATCCCTCCTGAGGTCTCGTCCCCGGATGATTCTCCCAGTCCAAAGCCTTGTGTGCCTCGCGGCCTTTGGCCTGGCCCTCCCCTTGGCCATCAGCCTCTTCCCGCAGATGTCCGAGGTCAGTAATGTCTGGTCACTGCTGTGGGGTATCTTGGAGGGACTTACCAATGCCATTGCTTGTCTGGCCTTCCTGGATTGTCTCATGTCTATGGAACCTCCTCCATTTTTGGGTGGAGTCAGTTGCTGTCTTCTTCACTTTAATGAGCGCATGTTTCCTGGGTGGGTGATGTTAGTCCCTCCTGGCTAGCATAGCACAGATGAATATCCCATGGCTTTTCCATACTTCTAACCAGTGTTTGGATCGTGCGGTGGGATGTCCTTTCCAAGAGAACAGAGCAAGAACTGAACAGAGGAAGCTTTGCTCCACCCACCAAACGCACCTTTTACCGACAAGGGATGGTCACGTGGGATCCTCCTCCCTTGTTCTCCCACAGGGGTGGTCTGCTCCAGGCCTCTCCCATGTGGAGAACATTTAGTAATTGAAACACGAGGTATCAGCGGGACAACCAGGTCGGAATAAGGTGGTTTTTTAAATGTTTGAGAATAATGTTCTGCCTACTTGATCACTGGCCAGAGGAGAGTCTCAGCTATTGCAGCGGGTGTCTGGTCCCTCTTTAGTGATGTCCGGGTCAGGTCTGGTCAGATCACAAGTCAATGGATGTTGGTATTTCTGAGGGTTGGCTTCAGCTCTCAGGCTCCAGCTGGGTTCATCCTGTCTTGTCTGGGGACGTGAGCTTAGTCAGAACTGAGCTGCACTGGGGACAGCATGGTTCAGCTCACCCTTCCCCATGCCAGCGGTGTTTCCTCGGTGTTAACAAAGTCAAAACAAGTCTTTGCCCATTAAGCAAAGAGCCTGGGATGTACATTTGATGTGGATGTACTTTCCCAGAGCTTCTTTGAAGGGTTCTGCCTTTTCATCTTCTAGCCTGGCTCTGGGAAGACACAGCCTGGGGGTCAACAGAGGAAAACTAGTCAAGGAAACAGGCAGAATGACTAATGAGATCAGTTCAAATGAATATCCAAGTTAGTTAAGCAAATTGCTAAGCTGTATTTATTTGTAAGACATTAATTTTGACCATTCGGCGTTTGGAGTTTATAGATTTGCAGATTGTCATTTTGTGTGTTTACAGGGAGAGTCACTAATATAAAGTGATAAAACCTCAGACAAACAGAGCAAAGGACTGCGCTGGAGTTCTTTTTGTGTCAACTAGAACAGTTGACCAGAAGTTGTATCACAGCCTCTACTGGTTAATTGAGGTTTTTTGGTCTGGATGGGTATATTCACAGTTTCAAGCCAGGGAATCTTGCACACTTGTCTGCTAGACTGAAAAATGTGTTAGAGATTTTTTTGTTGTCCTTCTAGCTGTTTACAGGCTGAGATAAAACTGTCCCTTAATCTTCTCTTTAAGAAACAGAATATAGCTCAATCTTGGAGTCTCTTGCTAAAAGACGTGTTTCCTGAAGCTTTAATGATTCATATGGCTCTTCCTTAAACTTTTTCTAATTAGTCAACATCCTTTTTGGAGCATTTCCATAAGAACCAGACACACTATTCCAGTAAGAAGTTACACAAGTACCAGTTGCAGGAGCAATGTGATTTGCCTGCTTCTACTTGAATTCACAGAATCCCAGAGTCGTCTAGGTTGGAAAAGCCCTTGAAGGTCATCTAATCCCACCATGAACCTCCCGCTGACCCTTCCCAACTCCCCCAGATCCCTCAGCACTGGCTCAGCCCGACTCTTCAACCCCTCCAGGGATCCCGGGGACTCCCCCCTGCCCTGGGCAGCCCATTCCAACGCCCAACAGCCCCTTCTGCACAGAAATCCTTCCTCAGAGCCAGCCTGACCCTGCCCTGGGCAGCTTGAGGCCATTCCCTCGGGGCCTGGCGCTGGCTCCTTGGCTCCAGAGACTCATCCCCCCTCTCGGCCCCCTCCTGGCAGGGAGTTGCAGAGGGCCAGGAGGTCTCCCCTCAGCCTCCTCTTCTCCAGACTGAACCCCCCCAGTTCCCCCAGCCGCTCCCCAGCAGACCTGTGCTCCAGACCCTGCCCCAGCTTCAATTCATACATCCACAGAGCATGTTTATCATTTTGGCATGAGCTCAACCTTAGCTCCCTGTCCAGTGTTTTTTTTTGCTGTGATCCCAAGTTCTACTCAGAAGTTTTGATTGTGAAGGACTGGGGAGTATTTCCAAGTCTCACACTCATTTGAGGTACATGCCCAGAGTATGTCCAAAGTTCCTCCTGGAAGGAGACTTGGCTGTAGAGCATCCCTTATGCCCCTGTTTCCAGGGAAAGGAGCTTCACCTGCCAGAAAGTAGCCGTAGCCTTTCCTGGGACGTCTCCTTTCAAGATAATCAGGGAAGCCAGACTGCAGGAGGTACCCCCAACCTCATTTACCCCAAAGGTGTGAAATGCTGGGGTTTGAACCCCAAGCCCCAGTTAAGGCTGACATGTGGGTGATTCCCACAGCCCTTCCCAAAGCGGGGTGAGTTTCCCTTTAGGCTTCCCCCCAGGGTGGGGCGGCCTTGCAGACAGAGCCATTGGGTGAACGAGCCCCAGGTGTCTGCAGTGAGTAACCCAAGGTCAGGTGTCCCACTGAGGGGTCAAAGCTGGGACCCCTGGCAGGGAGAGAGCAGTGTCTGTGTGTGAGGTGGGTGTCCTGTGCAGAGTTCCCTGCTGGGGAAGGACCTCCTGCCTCCCTGGGACTGGGCTCCACTCAGCTCTGGCTTTTGTAAACGTGGGCTCTGTAGGGATTCATGATGGGGCTTCCTTGGTCTGATGTGTTTGGCTGGTTGACCTGGTTGTCTCCCGTCCCTTCTATGGGAGACTGCATTTCACTGTTTATCCCACCCATTGTTGGTTGTGTGGTGGTGGTGTTGGGGTCATTGGGGTTGATGTTAATTATGTATAACCTGACTGACTTGTTTGTACCCCCAGCGCTCACCCATGTCCTGACCCTTTTGTATCAAATGCAGTCTGGTTATTGGTTCATCTTGATGCTGGCTGTGTCCTTTCTGCTAGGCTTAATAATTGGCAAAACAAGGTGACATTGCTACCGTTCTCTCAGAATGGTGCCCTGTTCCAATAGTCCACACGCTCTTTGTGCCCAAATGCAATTTTATGTGTGACCATAGTATGATGCAGGTTGACTTCTTTTCCACAGATCACCACAAGATCCAGAGCCCTGTGACCTGGGCTCTTAATTTCTTACCACTTCCCCAGACTTTGGGTCATCTCAAGCCTTAAGCAGCAGTCATTGTGTATTTTCTCTGTTCTTGCTGACGACACCCGTGTTCAACAGTGTTGGCCAAGCCAAACCATTCTTTCAACATAGACAGGAAACTCACCCTACGATTCTGTTTTGAAATTTAGCATCTTGTACGTTTCCAGTAATTTCTGGAGGCATCGCTTAGCATGGGCTTCTGTGAAACAGCAAGTGACTACTAAGGTCAGTGGGAACTAAAGTTTCAGTGCCAGAATCTGAGGCATTCAGTGTTAAAGACTTTGGGCTCTACACAAATATTTATTCATTGCCTTAGTTTCTTTAACTAAAAATGAAGCTCAGAAGGTCTTTTTGCCTTTTGTATTTTAGTTTTACGGGTGACCGATAATTTATGGTGTATAGTATCTGATATTACAGCATGAAAAATTGTGTTGATGCTAACAGCTGAATGAATTCTAGGCCACAAGGAAAATTAAGGTCTGGCTTCCTTCAAAGGCTATTCAATTTGCAGGCATCAGGCAATAGTGAAACCATACAGCATCACTTGAAAATGACCTTCTAAAAGCAGATGAAATGTTATCTGCAGTATAAACATGAATCAGCGCTGATTAGTAGATCAAACAGAATGACGTGCTCCCTGCCCACGCTTTGTGTCAGTGAAGAGAAACCGTTACAGCTAGTGGTATAGCTCATTCCCTACTGGGATTTTGTCTCTGTTCAACTGGAGTTAGCGCCACACGCGCAGCTGGACCTCACATCTGTTGATGCCAAGGAATCGGGTTCTCCATAGCAGCCTGGTCTGATCAGTCTTGCTTGCATTCGTGTTAGACGCGTGCGGGCGCGTGTGTGAAGGGTGCTCCTCCCATTCTGCACAATCTCATCGGTGGTGACTGCGGGGATGCCCAAGTGAGCAGAGCAGGTGATTTATCCCAAACAATCCACAGCCATTTCTTCACAGTCTTTGGAGATCTGAGTCGCCTTGCAAGGAGCAGTTCTCAGAATGTGTGACTTCTTGGCCACTCATCACTGGTCCATGAACTTGCCAGACAACTGAGTTAACAGGCTTTAAGTGTTTGAGCATTGACCTCTCTCTATATGCATGTTCATGTGTGTATTTGTGTGCACATGTGTGTTTGCTTTTCCTCGTAACAGCAGTAGGTGAGACAGCTACGAACGTAACACGACTGAGATGATGCTGCTGTAATGAGCACTACCCAGGGAGTAAATTATTAACAACAAGATGTAATAGGCGTGTTCTGTTCCAAAAATATGATTATGGTCTGAGCAGCAACCCTTTCAGGAATTGTAAATGAGCCAAATTCTGCCCTTAATCACACATTCACAGTCCTTTTTCTTCAGTCAGAGAGCAAACACAGAAGCTGATGTGTTAAGCGCTTGTTTTAGCATGGGAGCTTGCCTGGCCACCTTTGATCCACTCTTCTAAAGGGGCTCAAACTTACAATTAGTTTTCAAGTAGAATGAAGCCTTGCAATAGATTTAATAAACGTGCTAGATAAATTCTGCCACCTTATCACATCAGCTGTAGCTGCCTCAGAGTTACACCTGTTTTGAAATAACATGAGAGAAATCAGAATTCAGCTCTAGTTGCATACAGAAACACCAGTATCGGGTAAATGAAGATCCTGGAGCTGAACAACCTGCATGTGTTGGGAAGGATAATGCATCCAGATCTTCTCTTGGGTCGGTATTTAGTCTAGCTAAGACCTTATACCTTCCTTGATTTTGTACAGATGGAATCTGCTTTGATGTCTGCAGCAGTGCTCCAGAATCACAGCTTGTTTCTAGATGTTTTGAAGATCACTTTATAAAAATAAA